TGCCCACCCAGCTCATCTTCAGACCAGGAGGGCTGTCCTCTCTGCTTAGCAGTAGCACTTCCCCGCTGCTTGAAACCATTTCCTGCCCGTGTTCTAGCGCGGGGTGGTCTGTGCGCACTCGTCCTTGAGAGGACAGAAAGCGCCCAGCCCAGGGACAGGCTGTGCAGCCGCTGCCCCAACAAGCCAGCGCAGCTTCCTGCCGCCGGCGGGCAGCGCCCAGGGCTGCTGGGCTGCGTCTGCCAGCCTGGGGCACAGCCGTGCAGCGCTGCCAGGATGGCAGTCTGTGTCCCAGTCCTGGCTCACAGCCACCTGAATGAGTGTGAATGCAAGTCCTCTCCTCTCCTGCAGTCTCCTGCTCTTTCTGCTGTTCTCTGAAGTTTGTGCAGAAACACGTTTGTGCTTCAAACCTTTCACATGAAGGGGTGCCACCGTCAGCAAACTGTGTTACCAGTTACTCCCAGCAGAGTGGCACAAAGCTGGCAGCTCAGGGTGCTGCAGAGGTGTTGGTACCCCAGTGAATGTGGAACATTCAAGGCTTGGCTTTATTGAGAACAGATGACTTTGCAGTAGGCTGTCACTTAAAAGAAAGGTGATTTCTTCTTTCTTCAAGTCTCCGTCTCTCAGCTGAGACCGACCGAGGCTGTAGGATGCAGACTGACTCTGTGCAGGGAGTGGTGCGTGTCTGGGGGGATTTAAATGGAAAGACAAAAGCCACTCAGGTCAGGTGAAAGCGAAACGTGGGGTGAGCTGGTCCTGCTGGAGGCTTTGATGGTAACTTCACAGTAAGTCTTAGCCAAGTGAAACACCTACGGCCTCGCTTCAGGGCCAGCCACGTCCCTCGTGGGCAGGGAGCAGGGAGATCAGGTAAGGACAGAGGTGAGACTCCAGCCTGGTGACACACATGGTTGAATCTTTCCAGGGGAAAGGGGGATTTTACCTTGCTTGTTTTTCAAACACTTTTTTTCTCAATGGGAGGGGAAAGTTCTATCTCAGCTCCTGTATTTTGGCACTTTGTTCTTGGCCGTGTTTTCCTCTGTGCACCTCCCAGCTCTTCATCTCCCAGCAGTGCGCTGGCCTCTGGCTGAGGGATCGCTCGACTTCCTTACCTTTCTCTCGCTGCTGCTACACATCAGACTGCCCTGTGCTTCACTAAGCCCATTTTCATCGTTTTTATGACTACAATGGTGATTCTTTCATATCCTGGCACATTCACTGGGCCATAGTTTGAAGAACTTGCCCTTTGGAGGAGGAATTTATTTACAAGGATGTTGAGCTAGCAGCAGCATCACCTGCCTCAGCCTTCCTGCGTGGCAGTTGCCTAAATATACACCTGAAGGAGGCTGGTGGTGTAACTGGGGTTCAGATTCTGATGCAGATCGCTTCTCTTGTCCAGCCTTAGCACCAGGGACCGTCCTCAGGCCCTGCTGCTCCGAGGTGGGACGCTCTGTTTGCAGGGAGAGGACAGGACACAGCTCCGCTGTCCCTTCCCCAGCCCTTCCTGCGTCCCCAGTCCCCTCCTTGCTCCGCAACACGGAAGATACAGATTTGGACACACCGTGCACAGCTTTCCAGGCTCAATACTGGTTCGTGTGCCACTCCTATACTGGAGCAGGGAGCTGGGATGCTCTGTGCTCTGCCAGCTGCTCTCCTTTGCTGCCCAGGGGAAGCTTTCCTCCCCATCTCCAAAAGCAAATGCTGTTCTTCCTATGAGTCACTGAATGGCCCTGTTTTTCACATCTTTTTCTCCCCAATTTTCTATTTCTTTTTTTTTTGTCTTTTTCCTTCTGGTTGACATTTATTGGATCTTGTTTTTTGTTGCTGATGCGTTTTTTGCCCCCCACCGCCCTGGGTGGGTTTCTTCACCTGTAGAGAGAGAAAGGCAAGGAAGACAAGACCCATCCCCAGGCTGGTCGGACCCCGAGCCCAGACCCTGCTGGGCTCCAGTCCCTGGTGCTGGAGCCGCCCACCCCCCCGGAGAGCCAGCCCCCAGCCCTGCACTCAGCTGGGGAGGGTACCAGTAAGTAGCAACCCTGACCCACTTCACCTCCCCTCCCTGGCCCTCGTGCCCGCCAGGAGAGAGGGGTTTGCCTTGTGGGAGCAGTGTTTTGTGCCCGGCGGGGCCGTGGGATAAGGGGCAGCCTTAGGCACCGTCTAGAGGTCCCACCCCCTCCATAAATCTCTGCTGGGGGAGTGGGAGCCCCCCAGGCTGTGCCGTCTGAGCCCTGTGCCCGTGACCCACTGCCACACTGGGCCTGGGTGCTGGGGCAGGATTTGGCAGCAGCTGGAGATGCTCCAGTCCTACCATCCCCTCCAGTCGTGCCCATTCCGTTTGGGCTCCTGGAAGGGACGTGCCTGAGGACTGGGGGCACTGGGGGCAACAGGCCAGTGAACTGAGCTTTCCTCCCAGCTGCACGATGTCAGCGACCGAGCGGATGGTTTGCAGGTAAAACCGGCTTCTTCGGATCCCACATCCTTCCCGCTCACCCTCCTCTCCTCTCGTTGCAGATCGAGACTCATAAGCTGACTTTCCGCGAGAACGCCAAAGCCAAGACCGACCACGGCGCTGAAATTGTCTACAAGTCCCCCACCATCTCTGGAGACGCCTCCCCGCGCCGCCTTAGCAACGTCTCCTCCACCGGCAGGAT